TTTTTTTTTTTTTTTTTTTTTTTTTTTTTTTTACAGACCAACAGTAAAATTACAACACTAACATTTATGAATGTTGATGAAACTTTTATTTTGGCGGAAACCCGCAGGAAGTGTTATATAGTGCATATATTTAGCAAAATGCTCCTCTCTAGAGTTAATTTCTCTAGCTGACAAATGGTTTTATGGTCACCGAATATATTTTTAAATGTGACGTTATGTGACATTGTTTACAAGCTGTTATATTGACATCTTTCCGTGGTCGAAACACTAATCAAGTGATTACATGAGATAGGATACGGATTTTGGTAAGTTGTACTCTTTCTTTTAACATACCTTCGAACGTTCATTCATGTTATTTCCTGCTGTAACTGGTTAAAGCGGAGGGCATGATCAGTTCACGTTCGCTTCGCGCTGCCACTTTTGTTATATCAAAAATAACAAGGCACAATGATTATTGCGAATTATATGGATGGGAAGCGTGCTACAATTTTCCGTTCATTAACTGGAAACAGGCTAGACTAACAATTTTTCGAATTTAAGAATCGATATCACTTCGTGAAAATGAGAATAGATTAAAATCGAGAAATCAATATTTTTTTTTACCCAGCCCTAGTAAGTTGGAAGGCATTTGAGGAGCTAAAATAAACATGAATAATATTTTATTCATCTGACTTTACCAGTCTATGATTTCTCTGTCCTCTAGATGTTCCTGTCATCCAGCAGCTCAGAAGAACCTTTAAATATTTCAAAGATTACAGACAGGTTAGAGGATGCTGAAAATATTCCCATCTATCTATGCATAGGAAAGAATCTGAGATTTAAAATGTTTTCTTTCTGCTTCTCTGTAGATGATCATCGAGCCCACAAGCCCAAAGCTTCTTCCAGACCCTCTGCGAGAACCCTACTACCAGCCTCCATACACTCTAGTGCTGGAGCTCACCGACGTCCTCCTCCATCCTGAGTGGTCGGTAGGTGTCAGCTCAATTAAAATAACCATGAGAGAACCTGCATTTAAGGAATGAGGAAAGACCAATGCACACTACTGTTTAAAAGTTTCGAAAAGGGGTGTGTGTGTGTGTGTGTATATACAGTGGGTACGGAAGAAACCCGCAGGAAGTTCTCAGTGCTTCTTTTTGTTGACAACAGCAGATTTATAAATGATTCTCATTACGAATTTGGCAAGATGTTTGTCGCACGTATCGCATTGTCACATGCCTTGTAAAAAATCATTAAAATATTACTGAGCAACTGACGAGTTTCAGCACAGATTTTCCTTGCGCTTTGGACTTTGAACCCTGGCTAACAAGCAGAACATGCAGCGCTGTTTGAAAACAAGCAATGCGTGCGTGTATTAGAAAACATATTCTGCAGTTTATTTACTAATTGTTTAAGGCCATTTCGCGATTTCAATCATCATACAGTAACCAGCAACAATCACCCTTCCTCTTCTCATCGAAGACATGCGATGCAGTCCTAAACAGTCTCTCGCTGTCGGTGCTTGTATTGATTTTTGCATCTTTCTCCGACAGTTTTAAATGTTTCCACACTGCCGACATGTTTGCTGCATTGGCGCACGCCTCTATTTGATCACGTCATGTCATTGTTCGGTACAGTTTATTTGGTCTTTTCACGTATTCACACACCGAAACATCGAAAGAGCTTTTTTTTGCTATTTTCGGACGAATAATTTTGGTTGCCGAACATTCAGTGCATCCCTTATATATATTATTCAGATACAACATATTCATCAGAATTGTCAGTAAAGACATTTATAGTATTACAGAAGATTTCTGTTTAAGGCAAATGTTGTTCTTTTGAACTTTCTATTCATCAAAGAATCCTGGAAAAAAATGCATCACGGTTTCCTAATATATATTAGGCAACGCAACTGCTTTCAACATTAATAATCAGAAATGTTTTTTGCATACCAAATCACCATATTAGAATGATTTCTGAAGGATCTGACACAAAATTCAGCTTTACCACCATTTACCATTCACGTTTAACATTAAAACAGAAAACAGTTAAGTTATAATAATATTTCACAATATTACTGCTGTTTTTTGTGTTTTTATTCAAATACATGCAGCCGTGGTGAACATAAGACAGTTCTTTCAAAAACTTTCAAAAATCGTACTGTTAAATGGTAGTGTAAATTGGATATTTCTGTAAATTGTTTTGCCTTCATTTTGCCTTTAATTCAATTTTAATAGGCTTTCATTGTGAGAAATACATTTTTAAATGTACAATTAATATGAGGGAAAAAAATTCTGAAAGCCTGTTTCCAGTCTTTATTTCTAGTAATTTTTCCAACGCCCAATGTGACTCTTTTTGTCATTTCAATTTGTATCTCAAATAGTTGGAACAGTGTTCCACACTGCATGTACAATAATTATAAAATGCTTTATAAAGTTTTAGATGGAGTTCAGCATTTCACACCATAGACCGTGTCAACTCCCCGTCCCAATGAGCCACCTTGAGCTGCGAGACATAGACTTCACATTCTCAGATCTATATTTATAGAGCTATCATGAAATGATTCTTAAAACTAGATTGGTTAGATTGAACCCCTAGTAAACTTTTCGTGTTTGGCTCCTAATTGCAGGCCCTGTCCTGTTCCAAACTAAACACAGCTGCGCCTGCTCTCATGTATTCTGTACATACGCTCTTTATGTGCAGTGCTGTATAATGTGTATTTTTGTGCACTCAGACCCAGACTACAATAAACTGTCTCAATTTGATCGGTTTGATTTACTATTAAACAACCCTTAGTCAGTTTATTACTATCCTTATCAATTTCTGTTAATCATATGAGGCAATCTGGAACGCTGTTTTGGGCCAACCACCTGTCGCCTCCTTTACCTGCACCCTCCTCCCCTCTGTTCCCTCTACCTGGCCAGCTGTGAGGGAAGGGCCACACAGAGGTGACAGGTGGAGCATAGCCGACCTGTAACCTGACACCCCTCAGCAGACTGTTACCGTGGTGCATGGCACAGTGATTTTTGTTGAACCTCAAGTGAAGCTTTGTCTGTGACTGTACTCGTACTTTTTGGTTTTGTCTGACTGTGACATGTATACTGAGGTATAGGTGTTTAGTGCCACATAAAAGCGCAATTGAAGTATCTGTTACTCTAAACGATACAAAAGTAGGGTTGTAGCTCACAGTACAGAAGAGTTTGATGCTAAAATACAACTTACTTGACTAAAGACATTTAACAGTGAATTGACGTGAAAAATGCTTCTTTGCTATGCTTTTATTTTAAAGACAGATGATCGCAATAGTCACGCTCTTGTTTTCCAGTAAATGACTGAGAAAGGCTGTTTAACAGCATGGTTGTTTAATAATGTATTCCAGATGGAACGTCTAAAGATGTTTGAGATTAAATAACAACGCTCAGGAAATCTGAAACAGCACCTATGAGCAAAACACTGCTAATAGCAAAAGTCTGTTACATATTATTTCTGTTTTGTTTTTTTCTTATTTTTACAACAACTGAATGCATTAAGATAAATGCACTGTATTTTGAAAGAAAATATTATACATTACCATTCAAATGTTTAGGGTCAGAAAGTTTTTTTTTGTTGTTTTTTTTTATATAAATGTTTTTCAAATATGTCTCTTCTGTTCGCCAAGGCTGCATTTATTTAGTGAAAAATACAGGATAAAACATATTTTGAAATATTATTACAATTTAAAATGACTGGTTTTTATATGCATATATTTTAAAATGTAATTTATTCCTCTGACGCAATGCTGAATTTTCAGCAGCCATTACTCCAGTCTTCAGTGTCACATGATCCTTCAGAAATCATATCTAATATGTTGATTTGATGCTCAAGAAATATTTCTTAATATTATCAATGTTGAAAACTGCTGTTGTGCTGTTTTATATTTTTGTAAAAACATACATTTTAGAGATTGATTAATGAATAGAAAGTTCTAAAGAACAGAATTTATTTGAAATAGAAAATTGTAAATGTCTTCACTAATACTTTTATTCAGCAAGGATCAAAAGTGAGTTCTTTCAAAAATTTACAAGCCCCAAACTAATGTAAATTGAAATGCAAACTGACCAGTTAAAAACTAAAACAGTAAATAAAAAAGATTAATTAAAATGTATATTATAATGAAAATACAATAAAATATATATATATAAATAAAAACAAATTCTTAACTATTAAAATTGTTAATGAAAATGATTCTGCTATATAACATTTATTCTAAACACTATATAAACATGTAAACTTTTTTTTAAATGGTGTTTTAATGTTTTCTGGATCTCCTCTTCCCCTTTAGTTGGCCACAGGTTGGCGTTTTAAGAAGAGGCCTGGCATAGACTACCTCTTCCAGCAACTGGCCCCACTTTATGAGATAGTCATCTTCACATCAGAGACGGGCATGGTGAGTCTCAGTGGTGGTGAGGACTGCCTATTTACCACAATAATGCAAGTGTGAAATGCTTGTTATTTGTTTTTGCATACACCGTTTCAATTGCAGTTAAAAGGAAAAGTTTCTTGAACCCTGCTTGAACATTGGGCCCACTTACAATAGATGCTATTTTGGGTACAGTGGCACACCTACTTGTCTGTTGATTCTACAAACACACAGTCTTGTGCTCAAATATAATGTTTCCTGATTGATGCCATCATTGAGACATTTGTGCTCGGCTTTAGTCTGCTAGTGTTTGTGTGTGTCTGCTGTTGTTTGGTTGGTGTGGCACACTTGTAAAGTCATGCAAATGAGCCTTGTTTTGATTGAAGAGCCATTTGCTGTTGCTGCTGCTGTTGTTTTGTTTTATTCTAATGCATGCAAATGTCAATTCAGCTTTTCAGCAATGTAAAAATGGCCCATCTACTGTCTTGATGGGCTGCTTCACAAATTTTAGAGCAACTAGCATTTTTAATTTAGGCTTTTGACAGTATTTGATGGCTCAATATGATATAAGAAGGGATTTTAGATATCATGATTCCACTGCATTATGTTTTACATCACTTGCTCACCAATGGATCCTCTGCAGTGAGTGGGTGCCGTCAGAATGAGAGTTCAAACAGCTGATAAAAACTTCACAATCCACACCACTCCAGTTCTTCAATCAGCATCTTGTGAAGTGGAAAAACTTTTTGTAAGAAACAAATCCATCGTTAAGACATTTTTAACTTCAAACCATTCCTGAAATATGAGTCCTCTATCCATAATAATGCTTTCTCCAGTGAAAAAGTTGTCTTGTCTGAATCAGGAAAGACATATGCACAGATCAAACACTGTTTACAAGTGAAAACAGTCCAAAAAAAATTCTAAACAAATATGTTGATGAATTTTTTTTGTGAGGGGACAAAAGGGACTTTTTCAATAGAGGAAGTGGTATTATGGATTATGGAGCCGTATTTTGGCCAGAAGTGATGGTTTAACGTTAAAATGAATTAATTATGGATTTGTTTCTTACAAACACACAGCTTTTCACTTCAGAAGACATTCATTGATGGATTGGAGTGGTGTGGATTACTTGTGGATTATTGTGATGTTTTTATCAGCTCATTCTGACGGCACCCATTCACTGCAGAGGATCCATTCATGAGCAAGTGATGTAATGCTGAATTTCTTCAAATCTGTTCCAATGGAGAAACAAACTCATCTACAGAATGGATGGCCTGAGGGTGACTAGATGTTCAGCAAATTTTCGTTTTTGGATGAACTACATCTCTCATTGTAATACATTTCATAATGTGCATAAAAACGATTCCTGAACACACAATATCGTATGTTTGTGTGTGAACAGACGGCGTTCCCCTTGATTGACAGTATAGACCCTCAAGGATTTGTGATGTACCGGCTCTTCAGAGATGCCACACACTACATGGAGGGCCACCATGTTAAGGTAAACTGCACAATCTGCTTGTCTATACATCTGTTTCTCGATATCATGCTTTGTTGGTGATGTGCGCAAATTCACTCTCAGTATTTAGGACACTTCTCTGTTCCTGTAAACAGTGTCCGCCACTTACCGTAAAAAAATTCAGCTGTCTGGTATTTCACCCCTACATGGCCGTGGGTCTTTTGAGTCACAGTATTTGAGATAAGCCATATGTCATGAAACACTGAAATATTTCACTGCCCTCAGATAGACGCTGCTCATTTGACCATAAATTGTAATGTATTTTTGTACAGATGTTGATAGTTTGGTTTTACAAAAGTGCACATGTTCTGGGGAAACCAATTCATAGAACTGTGAAGTTTCAAAATGCTGCAATCCTGATTCACAGACATGTATTTGCCAACTTCCTAATTTCTTACAAATGGCTTTGAGTAAAGCTCCTCCATGTGTATGTAATACAGTACGGTCTGATCTTATTGCTCAAGATCCCCGCCCTGTGGATCCCCTCTCCTGAGTGACCCGGGCAACATTATGGCGCGATGCCCCCTGTGTCTCTTCTGCATGCCGTCCTTCTGTTCGTGCATTGATTTCCCCACTGCTATGTGCTTTTTATTTTTTATTTTCTCAACAGCCCAAGACAATAGCAGTTTCTTCCCCTCCTTTATTCTTCGTTAGGCCGTCCGTCGTTACCTAAGCTTTCTCCTCATTAGGCTTATGAATGGTGCACAACGCTTAAGATCAAATTTACAATTGCATTACAGTTTACAAATTCAAATTCAGTTTTAAAATTAACTTTAGCATCCATAATCATATTACAGTATCGCATGTTGCATTGTATATTATTTTATTCATTATACACTACTGTTCGATGTTTGGAGTTAGTTTTTTTTTTTAGAGAAATTAATACTTTTATTCAGCAGGGATGCATCAAATTGATCAAAAGTGACAGTAAAGACATTTATAATGTTACAAAAGATTTCTATTTTAAATGCTGCTCTTTTGAACTTTCTATTTAAAGAACTCTGGGGGGAAAAAAGTTCTGCATCACTAGCATCAGCATATTAGAATGATTTCTGAAGGATCTTGTGACTCTGAAGACTGGAGTAATGATGGTGAAAATTCAGCTTTGCCATCAGAAGAATAAATTACATTTAAAAACGTATTCAAATAGAAAACGGTTGTTTTAAATTGTAATAATATTATACAACACTACTGTTTTTACTGAAGTTTTTTGATCAAATAAATGCAGCCTTGGTGAGCATAAAAGGCATCTTTCAAAAACAAAAGAAAATCTTACCTACCCCGAATGTTGTACTGTATAAAACTTTGAAAAGTAATTCTTTTAACTACATTTCTTAAATTAAATGTTGTTAAAATACTGTTATTAAGATATTGCATTTAAGCTTGCAGAACATGTTTGCTAATAGCCTAAAACAAGTTAAGTAAATTTACACAGTATTATAATGTATTAGTTAGGGCTGGGTCCCGATTCGATTCCGATTCCGATTCGCAAACTCTCGATTTGATTCGATTCTTGATTTGATTCTCAATTTTTTGATTACATTATCTGACAAGATGCGCATTAAATATCGCATGCGATTTATCATGCAGCCCTAATACAAATGCTATTGATATTTCTAAAAAATAAACTGTAAACATCAGTTTACAAATGGCGAATTATTAAAAAGAAATTAAGAGCCACAGGCCTGTATTTTAAACCTATTCTTTTTTCTTTTTTTATAGGGTATAGGGTCTTTTTTTAAAAAACAATAATAGGGCCCTATAAAATGTTTTTCTTAATATTTCTGGTAATCAGATGAAGGCTTACATTTCCTCCGTTATTCAAAAAGCAGCTACAGAAAACGAGCAAAGAACATTTACATTACCAAAGAACGTTGACTTTCTAGCGCGAGTATATGCACTTTAAAAAACACTCCCATTATAATCAGTGAAGCTATCTACACTGTATGATGAATAAACCTCTTATTCTTACATTGCACGTACATCTGCACTTTGTTGTTTATGATGAGAATTTGCGAGCTGAATTCAGTCAGCAAGTGCGCTCTGAACAACAAAACTGATGTTTCAGCAGTGACTCCTCTGAATGCCTCTGATTGGCCATTGCATTCATAAGCTCAGCATAATCGTGTGTGATTGGTTATAACGCGCAACACTGTAAAAACGCGGATACTATCGTCTATCGGCACAACCCTATAATGTATAGTATGAAAATATATATATTCATTTGCTAATGAATTTGCTAAAGAATACATTTAACAATGTTCTTAAATTTAATGCGTCATTAATGAGCCGATCCGAAATGATTTGCAGTTCATACACTCACACTACTTCGTAGCTGCTTCTAATCGTACATATTTGCGCAATAGGTCTTCCCTCCGGTCGCATTTCACCACTGCCTGTCTGGCCTTGTCCACCAGACCCCCATCAGCACTCTCTCTCCATCCACCTTCTGCCAACCCACGTTTATTTCTCTCCGCTTCCCCTCCTCTCCTCCTCCCTCACCTCCCATCTGGCTCTCAGAAGCGGGTGAGGGAAGGAGCAAACAAAGTCAGATAAGTGTGTCTTCTAAAGAACTGAATTAACGACTAGTACACTTACTAAAAACAATGCGAAGTTTGAAGAAAACTGGTGCCATCACAAGACTGACACTAAAAGTGAATGCAAAAGCAGCAGAATGCATTTTGGGCCAGCATGAACTTGATCGCTTTGAGTGATGCATGACGGAAAGGTTCCCTGGTATTTATGTAAAACACAACTGTGCTTAGTTTCCCAAGATAGCCTTTCTGTGAACCATTTGGTACAGATATGACACCAGTAGATGCTGCTGCTCCCCACCCCCAACAGAGAAAGGGGGCGGGACGGACTTTGATTGGCAGGTGCGTAGCGTGGCACGTGCATATAGTTAGCGGCACGCTTCCTCCGGCTCGTGCTTCAATGTTTTACCTGGGGAATTGGAGAGACTCGGCAACATGACACTCTTACACCCAGCTGCGTTACACGGCTCTGGTCACACAAATACACACTAGCTACATAAACATACTAATTACCATTAGATTTCACATTTTGAATGCGATTTAGACCCCATTAAGTTCGCGTGTAGCTATAATCCATAAAAATCTCATTATTTATACATGCACGCTCATACACTCAATAACAAATACAGTGAAACACACACTCTCGCTCCCGGTGGGGTTCAGGGCGTCCCTCATTGGGAGGCAGATGCGGGTAATTTATTGTAAATGCTACGAAGTGTGCCGCCGTCATGAGGGCTTTCCTTTCGGGGCCCCTCCATCTCTCTTGCACACGCAACTTTTTTTTCAGTCCCTCAGGGGGGATGCTGATGACCTCAGTGATAGAGAGAGTGTAGCGTCCCTGTCCATCTGCTCTGTAGGACCACCACTGAGACAGCTGGCCCGGAGATAGTGTGTGTTTGTGTGTGTGTGAGCGAGCGGGCGAGCGCGCCAATGGGCTGGTGTTAAGTCTTTGCACCCCTCCACAAATGCATAGGTGTAAATATGGTTCGCATCAGTGTCACACAAACGTTCAGGGGTGAGAAAGGTCACATTTAACCTCAATTTGTATGTATAGCTGGGATAAGTAGACTGCAGCTAGTTTACTAGATGGCAGGGCTCTTGAAGCAATAATCCACAAGAGGCAGAGCGTTACAATGATTTTACCACAAGTAAGGGGTGTTTTGGGGATTTAACCATAGTAAAATCACTGTACCACACTATGTGTGGCTTTTATCACATTGCTGTTGCTCATTAAAAAAAAAAGCTGCACTATTAAATATCTATACAGATACATAAGTCTAAAAATGCAAAGTAAAATGTAAATGAAAAAAGAAAGTTATATATAATATGATTATATAGAATGTAAATATATTAAATAATTTAATTTGTATAACTTCATATTTCTATTTATATTCTTAATTAAATTTTGTACATATTTATTTACATTTTTATATTCTTAAAGGGATAGTTCACCCAAAAATTAAAATTCTGTCATAAATTACTCACCCTCATGTCATTCTAAAACCGTAAGACCTTCGTTCATCTTCGGAACACAAATGAAGATATTTTTGATTAATTCTGAGAGCTCTCTGACCCTCCTATGTGACATCAGGGGTCCAACCGTAATTTTACGAAGCTACGAGAATACTTTTTGTACGCAAAGAAAACAGAAATAACGACTTTATTCAACAATTCGTCTCCTTCGTGTTTCCCTAGCGCCATTTTGGAGAGTATCCTCTGAACGTAAACAGACTGACCTTAATCGTGGTAATTACACTGCTGTCTATGGGAGGGTCAGAGAGCTCTCAGAATTCATCAAAAATATCTTAATTTGTGTTCTGAAGATGAACGAAGGTCTTACGGGTTTGGAACGACATGAGGGTGAGTAATTAATTACTGACAGAATTTTCATTTTTAGGTGAACTATCCTTTTAATTTTATTTTTTACATATTTCTTTCTATTTTAATATTCTTCATTTTTTTTTGTATATATATATATTAAATCGTTAAAATGTTAGCAACAGAAATAAGCAATATTTCAAGTGCAATATCTTTGGAGCATGTTTTGATGAACTGTGATGGTTTTAACTCTTTAATTTTTGAGAAAAGATTTTTAGTGAGACCATATATATTATCAAAGAAATTTTAATAAAATGAGTTTTCATTTGTTATTTATATATAGTTTATTTATGTACCTATTTTTCTTTGTTTTGGTACATTATTTTTGTTATCGCCATGAGAAAAGCTGTGGTAGCTGACATGGCGCTGAATTATAAACAAACAATATAAATATATTCATATATTTAATCAAATATATATTTAGATATTTATATTTAGATATTTAATACATTAAAAAATCAAGTATATAATTGTATAAAATTATACTAATATAAAATCATTAACTTGTTAAACGTATTAAACAATTGAATTTGTCTAATTTGCTATTTTATTGCAATATTTTTTATTTTTGTTTGAGGTTTAAATCTAGGTTTGTTTTTACATCTTAAACATCTTTTAAAACCTTTTTTCTAATTCCTTTTTTGTTTGTTATAACCAAAATAACCTCGTAGGTAAATATGGTGCATATGCTTAAATGTTATTCACTAATGACACTAATTGTTTGTCCTGCAGGACGTGTCTTGTTTGAACAGAGACTCCTCTAAAGTCATTGTGGTGGACTGTAAGCGAGAGGCATTCGGTCTACAGCCTTTCAATGGCCTGGCGCTGCGGAAGTGGGATGGCAACTCCGAGGATCGCACGCTCTATGACTTGGCTGCTTTCCTTAAAAGTGAGTATGCATGTGGGAGAGAAGAGTTCTGGGCAAATTGGAGTTGTTGGATTATTGTTCATTTGTACAAATCATTTGATCTCTATAGCTATAGCCATCAGCGGAGTGGAGGATGTACGTTCAGTACTAGAGAACTATGCCCATGAGGAAGACCCCATTGAAGCCTTCAAAAGAAGACAAGCGCAGCTTGCAGAGGTACTCATCACATCTCTTTTTGCCTGTCAGATGCCATATTTAGTGGTATTTAATAATACAACATAAATATTTCGCACATACAGGAAGAAGAACAGAGACTTTCGGAGCTTGTGCAACAGAAGAAACAGGGATTTTCTTTAGGTACCATCGCAGGTCGTTTCTGGTCCCGGAAGCAGCAGTGAGGACTCATCCTGCTCACACCCACCTGATACGGTCCCACCCGGACTGTGACCAGCCATTGAGATGAGGGTCATAGTCAAAACAGGTGGACAGTGTATGTGGGAGGGAGGGAAGAACGGGAGCAGAAGGGCATGTGTGGAAAAAACATCTGAAGAGATGCTACCTTCCAAAAGACGTTCAATTCCTGTGGAAAATAGCACTTCCTGGACAGCAGACACACAGATATGGTGCCCTAATGTATGATCTCACTGAATAGAAATTGTTTCAGAGTGGTTGGACTAGTTTCTATCCACTTCTTGGCTCCCTTATCTCTGCAAGAGCAAAGAACTTCCATGTGAACTGAAAAACTGATGCTGTTTCCATCAAGTAGATTCTATTTCAAACCCATAACTGATGCTGTAGGCAATAGCCTGATATTAGACTTTTTGAAAATGTCTGCTCCGCACACGTCACATGATGCGAAACCTTGGATTTGTGTTTGTGCTGTCATGGTGATACTGTTGCAGTGTGTTGAGGAGAACCTGTCAAATAAAGAGCTCAATCTGGTGCTATTTCTCATGACAGAAATGGCCCATCATGTCTGAGGATGTACTTGTGGAATGTTCTTTGTATTGCTTTTGTTGTGAAACACCCAGAATATCTCCAATAAACAGACCATAACATAATGTGTGTGCAATGTTTTGCTATGGATTTTTTTTTTTCTGTTTAAAGGTCTCATCCAGAGCAAATCAGCTTGAGCTATGATGCTTTAAATTATGAACTTGTACAGTAGTTTATTAATAATCATAATTTGTTATATGACAGATAGTTATATAAGGTGTTTTTTTAGAAGAAACTGTAGATTAAGTGCAACACTCAATGTTAAGGAAGCCTGTTTCACAATTCTGAGGAATAAAATTATCATTATGAGAGAAACTAAACAATTCTGTGTTTACATCTTGCAATTCTTGCAGCTGTTTATATTTCACAATTCGGACTTTTATTTAGAATTCTGAGTTGATATTTTGCAATTCTCAGAACGAAGCCTGTTTCACAATTCTGAGGAATACAATTATTATTATGAGAGAAACTAAACAATTCTGTGTTTACATCTTGCAATTCTTGCAGCTGTTTATATTTCACAATTCAGACTTTTATTTAGAATTCTGAGTTGATATTTTGCAATTCTCAGAACTGTGTTTAACTTGATTTATTTTTTAATATAATGCATTTTTAGTTTTATTTATTAATCATTCTTATCTTTTTGTTTTGTTTTGTTACCAGTGCACTATTTCGGCCCAGTTTTTTAAATAGAAATATAACAATTATAGAGAAATTAATGTGAATGATTTAATGTTAGTGATTTTATGGAGTGGATGCAGCACTTATTTCGGTAAACAATGTTTAGCTTTAGCTAAAATATTTCACATTTCTTTAATAATATAACCAGAATTAAAATAATTAAACGGTTGAATTTAACTCATATTTATAGTGTGTCATTTGTTCCAAAAAAATATTAAATAGGCGACTATAAGTTTGAAATCACTGCATACTCTACCAATATCAACTATTAACTAAAACGTTCAAATCTATTTAGACTGTTTGTGTTTTTTTCCGTTTGTCTCGAGTGAATTAGAATCCAGTACTAAATCAATTTATCTATTTCATTAACTTCAACCCTCTAACTCGATCTTTGTGCACTTAAAATAACACACCCATATCAACATAATGCGGATAACCTCTGACCGAGCTGATGCAGCAGCACGCTTCAGAACACACAATTTGAGGCAATTGAGAGACACAGAATGCTAAGTGTTAAACTTTTGTCAATGTCACACCTTTGCGTTTGACAGAAGACACGTGCCATTATGGCCTCACTGTTACCTCTGTCTGGCCTTTGCAAAACCACACTATGTTTTGCTTAGGGATACGAGACCAACAGAGTCGGAGAGTCCAACAATTGTTCCCAACCACTGAGAAAACATTAAAACAAAAATGTGGTGACATTTCATTAATCTATATAAAATAGCCTAATTACAATGAATATTTTTAACTAAACGTTGTCATATCAACAACCAACAACAAAGCCTGACGAGCCTTAAATACATAATTTAGATTAGGATATACCTTTAGTAAGTAACAATTCCGGCCGATTTAAGTGTTTTTGATTCAATAAAATGAACCGGTTCGTAAGAGTCAGGAGCCACGCTGTATGTCTATGATTCATTTCAAATAACCGACTCTTACGAGTCATTCGCTCGGGAGTTGAACTATCGCACTATACTTACTGATCAACACTGTATGTGTTTGATTTACTAAAAAGAACCAGCTCATAAGAGTTATTCGTTCGCGAATCTGAGTACCTAATTCAGTAATATTAGTCTGCGATGTTGCGTACTGTAGGCAGTCCAATACTAATAGAACTGTAAATCATATGGAGTGGATGCAGCACTTATTTCGGTAAACAATGTTTAGCTTTAGCTAAAATATTTCACATTTCTTTAATAATATAACCAGAATTAAAATAATTAAACGGTTGAATTTAACTCATATTTATAGTGTGTCATTTGTTCCAAAAAAATATTAAATAGGCGACTATAAGTTTGAAATCACTGCATACTCTACCAATATCAACTATTAACTAAAACGTTCAAATCTATTTAGACTGTTTGTGTTTCTCCGTTTGTCTCGAGTGAATTAGAATCCAGTACTAAATAAATTTATCTATTTCATTAACTTCAACCCTCTAACTCGATCTTTGTGCACTTAAAATAACACACCCATATCAACATAATGCGGATAACCTCTGACCGAGCTGATGCAGCAGCACGCTTCAGAACACACAATTTGAGGCAATTGAGAGACACAGAATGCTAAGTGTTAAACTTTTGTCAATGTCACACCTTTGCGTTTGACAGAAGACACGTGCCATTATGGCCTCACTGTTACCTCTGTCTGGCCTTTGCAAAACCACACTATGTTTTGCTTAGGGATACGAGACCAACAGAGTCGGAGAGTCCAACAATTGTTCCCAACCACTGAGAAAACATTAAAACAAAAATGTGGTGACATTTCATTAATCTATATAAAATAGCCTAATTACAATGAATATTTTTAACTAAACGTTGTCATATCAACAACCAACAACAAAGCCTGACGAGCCTTAAATACATAATTTAGATTAGGATATACCTTTAGTAAGTAACAATTCCGGCCGATTTAAGTGTTTTTGATTCAATAAAAAGAACCGGTTCGTAAGAGTCAGGAGCCACGCTGTATGTCTATGATTCATTTCAAAGAACCGACTCTTACGAGTCATTCGCTCGGGAGTTGAACTATCGCACTATACTGATCAACACTGTATGTGTTTGATTTACTAAAAAGAACCAGCTCATAAGAGTTATTCGTTCGCGGATCTGAGTACCTAATTCAGTAATATTAGTCTGCGATGTTGCGTACTGTAGGCAGTTCAATACTAATAGAACTGTAAATCATAAAAATCCTTCGGTTCATGCACTTTAAACGGACCTGTCCCGAATAAATCTAGGTTCCTAGTTATGATGGGGAAAAATGCTCTCAACTTTAGCACATCTGTACAAAGTTTTCGCTGACCTGTTAAATGAATTCGCCAGTGCCATAGTTTAACCCCACCAGACTGTTTCCCAAAGGTGTGAACAAATGACATGCGAATAAAGTGACGCCTCGGAGCCCCGCGCACGTGCAGGGATCCTGGGAACCGGTATGCGTCGAGCACCGCGTGTCGCGCTTCACACCTTGGCAGAGGAGCACCAATTCACATTTATGGATGCGCCTTCTGCCACTGGCTAACACCTCACTATAACTGTCGCCATGTGTCATTTCAGCCCCATGTGCCAATTCTCCCTCCTCCTCCCCCCAGAATTCACTAGCACCCAGTTACAGACACGCTTTATCCCAACCAAAGCGACGGCTCTTACACCGTTTGGATGTGAGACACGTGGATGGGAAAGTGTTAAGCACTGGCACACAAAGCAAAACATCTAGTGCTTAATTTTGTAAGCCGCAAAACCAGGCGATGAAACCATTACCGTGGTGACTTTATTACACTTATTAATGTCCCTGGGGGAAAGGGGGTTCGTGTAAGTTTGATCTATCATCCACCTATATCAGGAAACATCAGAGATGCACCATGCACGTCTTCGATTGAGCCAGATGGCTATTGATTTTGTGACTTTTCCCCGCTTTCCCCTCATCACTCTCTCTTAGTCGAATGAACATAATGAGCACACGACACCTATTTTGCTGAACATGTACCCCATATAGCGCGCATCAATACGAGCGTGGCCAGGCCACTCACGTGACAGGCAGGTAAAAAAAAAATTAAATTGTAGTAGTTTTATATATGGCCTATGATATTTGATTAGGCCGCAGATGACTTGTAGTTCAACAAAATTATACTCTTTCCAGCAATAAACAAACATTTACATTGTTTACATAAAATGTTACATAAACATTATCAAGTAACATTTTAATATGTTAAGCCTATATTCTTCTTTACATTTAACAAATAAATACGTATCCGAAATACTAAAATTGTTTTTTATTAGTAAGAAAGTTTAAATCGTCTTATAATTTATGGCGAAAGGAGCATAGCCTATTAAATGTTATCCACTTGTTAGCATTTTATTTATTTACTTTTTTTTTTGTAGGCCTACACTCTACAAAAAATAAAAATAAAGGTGCTTCACGATGCTATAGAAGAACCTTTTTGTCTACATGGTTCCATAAAGAACCTTTAATATCTGAAGAACCTTTCTGTTTCACAAAAGGTTCTTTGTGGTGAAAAAAAGGTTCTTCAGATTATAAAAAGGTAAGAAAGAGATGGTTCTTTAAAGAACCTTTGACTGAATGGTTCTTTGTGGAACCAAAAATGGTTCTTCTATGGCATCGCTGTGAAGAACCTTTTGAAGCACCTTTATTTTTAAGAGTGTATATTAGAGTTTATGTAACATTTTATGTTATTTAGTTGACTTTTTTTTTATTGCTGGAAAGTCTTTTTCCCTTCCACCTGTGTTATCAATACAGTTTAAAGCAAATGAAAAGTTAATTAGCAAAAACAAATAACTCAACTAACTAACAATAAAACACAATAAAAACATACAATAAAAAACATGATTTTTTAAAATTAATAAAAACGGTGTTATGTTTTTTTTTTTTTTTTTTGCAAATAAACTCTTAAAATATACAAATATAACTCAAATAGGTTGGTATATTAACAAATGACATATTATCCATTATATTGTTGCATTAAACCACATATCCGCTGTATGCAAGTGTGTTATTCAACCAAACTCCATGATTTGTTTATTTGCTGGGACAGTTTTCTTGTTTACACGGATAATAACTCTCGTTTATTCATCCTTGTGTTCATCAGAAGCCAAGAAACCAGACTGTCTTAATAATTGTCCGACAATAAATTAACAATAGCAGCCCTTCTTAACCACCTAATCATATGGTGCCGTCCAGTGGGCAAAGCGTGCCTGGGGTAAAGACGGGGCCAGCGGAGGCACGCGCTGCTCTCATTAGAATCACAATAGACTCACTAAAGCACGAGCAACAGTTTGCTGCGCATTGTTCGCGCGTGTCTCCTCTGTTTACCCTCAACATGGCCCGGTAGTGCGACAGAAGCTGTCTTTCTTAAATTAAC